AAAACAGATACAAGGGATACAGCTACCGATATACTCCAAAACAGATACAAGGGATACAGCTACCGATATACTCCAAAACAGATACAATGGATACAGCTACCGATATACTCCAAAACAGATACAAGGGATACAGCTACCGATATACTCCAGTGCTTATAACTACTTCGACTATGATTTCCTTGACGGTTTGGAAAGTGAAATACACACTCATGTGTGTTGCAGTGAACGCACCAGCAATAATGATATGCCTCGTCCATGCCTAGGTGTACGTAATCGTCCGGAAATACGGATGTCACCTCAGAAAACAGCTCCTCCAGGAACGTGAAGGTCGAGTTCAGCATAGGATTCATCAGTTCGTACTCCCCATGCCGGTTGTATTCAGCCTCTCCTTTATGGCCGTTGTGCCAGCATGGGGTAAGCAGGTCTGCCCAAAATATGTCATTTTCTGTGAAATTACTGTTCAATTTCTTAAACTTTACGAGATGATAAATGAAAAGCTGATATCAATTAAATTAATATATTAATATTGATTATGTATATTTCAACCAGGATTGTTTTTTAAATAAAGATTAATTGATGTACAATACTTATGCAGAACGTTCACGTCTTCTGCATTAAACTTTCCGTTCAGAACCATTTACCGGTAAAGATGCAATGCGATATATCTGAGGTATGTGCTGTCATATTAGTTTTTTGTTGTCAGCACCTCAAAACTCTCCGTTACCAAATGGTGTCTGAGAATTCTACGTTTTCAAATAGTAGTGCGCATTGGCCCAACACCAGACATTCATATGACAATATGTCTAAGTCTTGTGTCAGGGCCAGAGGAAACTCGAGCTAGGTGTGTCTGGACGTGTCAATACTTACCACGGTCAAACTTCCCCCAGGACTTGGTGTGTCCAGGCGTGTCAATACTAACCACGGTCAAACTTTCCCCTGGACTGGGTGTGTCCAGGCGTGTCAATACTTACCACGGTCAAACTTACCCCTTGAATGGGTGTGTCCAGGCGTGTCAATACTAACCACTGTCAAACTTTCCCCTGGACTGGGTGTGTCCAGGCGTGTCAATACTTACCACGGTCAAACTTACCCCTTGAATGGGTGTGTCCAGGCGTGTCAAAACCTTACCACGGTCAAACTCCCCAAGGACTGTGTGTGTCCAGGCGTGTCAATACTTACCACGGTCAAACTCCCGAAGGACTGTATGTGTCCAGGCGTGTCAATACTTACCACGGTCAAACTCCCCAAGGACTGTGTGTGTCCAGGCGTGTCAATACTTACCACGGTCAAACTCTCGAAGGACTGTGTGTGTCCAGGCGTGTCAATACCTACCACGGTCAAACTTGCCCCTGGAATGGGTGTGTCCAGGCGTGTCAATACTTACCACGGTCAAACTCCCCAAGGACTGTGTGTGTCCAGGCGTGTCAATACTTACCACGGTCAAACTCCCCAAGGACTGTGTGTGTCCAGGCGTGTCAATACTTACCACGGTCAAACTCCCCAAGGACTGTGTGTGTCCAGGCGTGTCAATACTTACCACGGTCAAACTCCCCAAGGACTGTGTGTGTCCAGGCGTGTCAATACCTACCACGGTCAAACTTGCCCCTGGACTGTGTGTGTCCAGGCGTGTAATACTTACAATGGTTAAACTTTCCCCAGGAATGGGTTTGTCAATATTTACCACGATCAAACTTCCTCCAGGACTTGGTGTGTCCGGGCTTGTCAATACTTACCACGGTCAAACTTGCCCCAAGACTGGGTGTGGCCAGGCGTGTCAAACTCGACGATGACTCTGATGCCCCGTAACCTTGCGTACTCAACCACTGTCTTTATGTCCGTCTGACTGTACACGTGGACTGGACTGTATGCTCCCTTAATTTGAAACAAATATGCGACAGGGTTAACACAAAAAAATCAGGTCAATACAGGAAAGCAAGAAGAACTGAAGAGGAACCAAATAGAGCTGACTATCCCCTTAAAATAATGTTGGGACGGAAACAAATTAGAACGTCCTCCATAGAGCCTCTTTGAAATAAAATGCGCATCGGCTTTGTTGCGCTTATCAGTTGCCTATGTACTTTCCGTACACTGATGTAAAGATTAATGTTATCGCTGTCACTGCACCGATTAACATATCAAAACGGTTACAGCCAAAAGTTAAAACAAGAATGTAACGTTACAAATAATTGCATAGAAGCCTTTCCTTTTTTCTATTCTTTAAATATATTTCAAGCTTTTGAACCACTGATGAATTCTAAATAAACGAAAAGACTGCGCTGTAAAATGTTACCTTTTTCATTGAAATTTGATATCTAATTACTAAGAGTATGACGATGGACATTCCTCATTATCCTTAAATATGTCTTAAAGGTATGCGACTGTGGCGTTCCTAGTCTTTAGCCTGTCCATCTTCATATCGAATCAGGTATAACAAATACACTATGATTATTCCGACAACAAAGTACCTTATGAGACAGCCCCGGGAACCTGATGCTCTGGTAGGGGAAAGATTGGTCGTCAACGATGTGCCAGTGGAACACATTAAATTTGTTGTATGACATAGCATCCTGAAATATACAGATGTTACGCACATACATTTTATGGATCCCCGTACCACTGCCAAAAACTGTTAATATGCGTTGAAAACGTTTTATCCAACATGACTATTGCTTCCATAAATCCTTTCTGAAAAGAAATCATACCATACAGAAACTTTCATGAAAATAATGAAACAGACGAAATGAACAAAAACAAATGATCATCCACAATGTTTTCAGGATTAAAAGTAGAAAGTTCAACGGGCCTTGCGCAAGATCCGAATATTGGACCTCGGATCCTTATACATGTGATCTCGCTCTAGCACACTGAGCTATCTGGACAGCTGTTTTTCGCTGTTGAAATATATATTTTATAATGAGTCATTGATTGTTTTGGTTTTGCTTTATTTATTTATTTATTTATGTTGTTCTATTTTGGTAAACGCAAAAGAATAGAAAACAAAATCTGAATATCTAAAATGTTCTCTTTTACAATAAGGCAGACATCAAAGCTACAAAATCTATAAAGCAGCATGTTAAATATCTGGAAATATTTGTACTGTATTAAATTACCTTAATGAAAACATCTAGATGTTTATGCATTTGTTCTCTTCCTATTTGTAATGCTTTGGTATTTACATAGGGATTGAAAGCTTTGTTTTCATCGTCATGCTAATATCGACTGCTCACATTCACTTAACAAAAACTGCATCAGTAAAGACCGTTGGTACTGGCTTAGACAAAGTAAATACAACTATTCAATTCCTTTATTTGTAGTCACTTGTCATGGAATAAATCACGTTTTCGATAGTAACTACGTTTCACGTGTTGACAATGAAATGATAATTGACGGAACAGCATTCCGATAATCATTTGAACAATTGATTATCGCCTGCCTTTCCGACGCAGACTGCCAACTATTAAGCGTCGAAATACCAATTACCAAATTCCAATACCAAACACACGTGATACTTGACATCTCGCGCCATATAATGATAATTCAAATCTGCTTCTATTATGGTTATCGTAGGTAATTTTGTTTTTCCAGGGATGGTAGAATCGCTGGATGTGTTCAAACCATTAATATTCAGAAAAGGAAACGCACGAAATATAAGCAACATACAATACTTCAAACTATTACTCACCAGATTCTTTAACAGGACAGGTAGTGGAATGAAGTGCCGGGCAGTGTCCAGCATAATTCCACGGTGTGCAAACCGTGGCTCGTCTACAATGCTAGTCTTGTTAATTCTTGCCTTGAATTATATCGAAGGTAAAGAAATTCAGATATATGAACATTCATGGTTGTGACACGATAAGACAATATTTGGCTACTGAATTGGTTACTTGTAGTATTGAAGAAAACAAAATGCCAACTGAGACTACCATTAATCTGTAGCGGTATTGGTTGCGCTGTCTATCAGAAATGACAATAATGTGAACAGTGCATCAATATTGAAATAGGAACTGTTTGTAAATGTCTTCTGTGGAATATCGCATTGTTTTCATTGACAAACAAGGCAAATTATTACAAGGCAATCCATAGTTCCGAACCGGTAATGATTTGTTTATTTACAGAGATTTTACCTATCACATGCCATAAGTCACAGTGACATACGTCCTGTACTGCTTACTCTGCCAGTTATTCCCAGGGCAAATCTTTTCAAAGGTTGATGTCAAAGGTCAAATCATAGGTCACAGTGACTACTTTCTGTTGTTTTTTTAACTGACATACAAAATCTAGTTACTCCAGATGAATTAGTAAAGAAGTTATGCTTCCGACAAACTCTTTGGACCGACGGAACCCAGACGGCGGGGGACTTAATGTACGATTGATTGACTGCAGGGGTACGCAATGCATTTCTTAGTTACACAAGTATGGCTAAATCAGAAGTTTTTTTTTTTTTTTTTTTTTTTTTTTTTTTTAACACAAACCGCATCAAAACAAAAGGCGAGACATCATAAAGTGAAAAAAATTAACATGGCAGAAAACCCAAGCCGAGAGTGTTCGGCCCCCTACAAGATACAGGTGAGATCAACGAAGATAAAATAAAAATCTGAGGCATATGATTCTATGAAACAAATATGTCAATCATGTTATGTTACGTTCAAACACGATATGCACTGCAAGTTAATACTATACCTGTCCTGTAGCGGTGGTATACACCAACTGGCTAAATGTCTCCAGTCCTACAATCAAACATGTTCTTTATACGTTTGCGATTAAATGATTACTCATCTATATTTGTATTTACTTTCTTAAATACCAGTTATGTTTAAAATTTAAAAAAATATATATATATAACCGAATAAATAGATATGGGCACACATGTTCGTTACGATTATACTAAATCATATCAGTAGTAGCAATCTAAACATTATGCTTCTCCTGCTTTTCGGTTTACGTATCACAGTAAGTGTACTAAGCATGTTTTATAATTTTGAAATCAATCGCATACGTCATCTAATGAAACATCGATGACACAATGTTTTGAGAATATGAATCAATATTTGATGAAACATGCAGGGTACATAGGTACGTTTGGTTAGTTTCGTTCTCGTTCACGTACAGATACATACTATGTCTTATAAATATCGGATGTCGCCTTTACTATAGATACAGCGACAGGGAATATGACGTATGTGGGGCTAGCATAGACAATAAAGCGCAGACCGATTGACGGGGAAGAGAACCATGACCCTCGGTGTCATTTACATAACAGTCATATAGGAAACATTGTACATGTCGTCATTATTTCACCAAAGATTGTCTGATCAATTTTAATACACCCCCAATATACTCCCTTTTAAAAGTACTTAAAAGCTTGCAGGACTTACCCCTTAAAACCCCCCATATACTGTTGGCACGAAGGGTCGCATGCTGATCAGCTTCCAGCGTGTCTAACATATAAAACAAAATGTTCAGTAAGTGTTACACATGCAAAAATATGTTTTCTAACTATTCATTTGCATGTGAACAATTCCTCTTTAACGGAAAGGTTATAAAAAGTGTTCGTTTTTCAACTTTCAAGTTTTTCAAGTTATTGTCGATATAAAAATTATACAATGTCTATCCTTATGTTCAAAGTCGATACCATTGCTTGATGGAGTCCACCCTATATCACAGAAATATAACGGCACATTTCGTGTTTTGTTTTTAACGTTTGCAGTGAGAAGTACACATTTCCTACGACTAAAATAACATAACGTAGATGGCGTGTCTTGAATGTTACGCAATTCCGACGTTATTCCTTCACTTTCTTTCTCTTTTAAAAGTACTCTAGACCAATATGGATCTCCATCTTTTGGCAACTAGCACCGCCTGTGAGTCCTAGAAGACCTTAATTCATTTTTGGCCTACTGTATCTATAACTAATATTTATAGGTTCAATGACGTGTGTGACTTACGTTTATTGCTGTTTTCATGTCACTTTTACATTGTATACTCACAGGATTCGTCCATCCCTAAATAGGGATACGCTTGACAAGAGGTGTTTTCTACGTGTATTTGTAGGTCCTCCACAGCATGTAGTGTGTCGTCTTTATGTCCAAATCCTAGCATAGCCTTGTGTCTCGCTATCCCTTTTTCAATGACGTCACATCCAATGACGTTAGATCCGATTTCGAAGTCTGCCATGTCAAGCGATAGAGTCTGCGTTGTGGAATTCAGCTCTTTTGGATGTGGCCATGGCGATCCTGGCGCTGACATTTCACCCTTGATAGATATTGAGAGAGAAATGAAAAAGACGTCTACGACGTTGCCTTGTACACGATATATGTATGTAACAGAACAGAACAAATGATAAGTAAAAATGGGACTTCAAAGCTTGAAGAGGTAGTTATTTATCACGTACTTTAGTTTGGTATAATATCAATGAAAATTCAGAAAAATAACTTATCACTGATCAAATCAAATAGAAAAATAGAATGTATTTGAAATCGATAAAAATACTTTCAGTTTCGAAAATACGTAATTGATGCAGTGACAGCCTGTGGTTTGTCTATCTATATCATTACTTACCTAAAGTGGCAGCCTATAGGTTGTCTATCTATGTCATTACTTACCTACAGTGGCAGCCTATAGGTTGTCTATCTATGTCATTACTTACCTACAGTGTCAGCCTATAGCTTGTCTATCTATGTCATTACTTACCTACAGTGACAGCCTGTAGTTTGTCTATCTATGTCAATACTTACCTACAGTGGCAGCCTATAGGTTGTCTATCTATGTCATTACTTACCTACAGTGACAGCCTGTAGTTTGTCTATCTATGTCATTACTTACCTACAGTGGCAGCATATAGGTTGTCTATCTATGTCATTACTTACCTACAGTGACAGCCTATAGTTTGTCTATCTATGTCATTACTTACCTACAGTGGCAGCCTGTGGTTTGTCTATCTATGTCATCACTTACCTACAATGACAGCCTGTAGTTTGTCTATCTATGTCATTACTTACCTACAGTGACAGCATATAGGTTGTCTGTCTATGTCATTACTTGCCTACAGTGACAGCCTGTGGTTTGTCTATTTATGTCATTACTTACCTACAGTGACAGCCTGTGGTTTGTCTATCTATGTCATCACTTACCTACAGTGACAGCCTGTAGTTTGTCTATCTATATCATTACTTACCTACAGTGTCAGCCTGTAGTTTGTCTATCTATGTCATTACTTACCTACAGTGACAACCTGTGGTTTGTCTATCTATGTCATTACTTACCTACAGTGGCAGCCTGTAGTTTGTCTATCTATGTCATTACTTACCTACATTGGCAGCCTGTGGTTTGTCTATCTACGTCATTACTTACCTACAGTGGCAGCCTGTGGTTTGTATATCTATGTCATTACTTACCTACAGTGTCAGCCTGTGGTTTGTCTATCTATGTCATTACTTACCTACAGTGACAGCCTGTAGTTTGTCTATCTATGTCATTACTTACTTACAGTGTCAGCCTGTGGTTTGTCTCTCTATGCCATTACTTACCTACAGTGGCAGCATATAGGTTGTCTATCTATGTCATTACTTACCTACAGTGGCAGCATTTGGTTTGTCTATTTATGCCATTACTCACCTGCAGTGGCAGCCTGATGGCTATGTAGGTAATATATCCATTGACGAAGCATACACAAAACACAATCACATTGACAACACGTAATATCTGATGTATATCCATATCAAATGTAAAGCATTACACCCTGGACGTCTAGCTCAGAATTTACATAACTGTTCCTGAGACATTTAGGAATGTGTTACGGGCAGGAGACAGCAGTGTACTGGGGAATGCACTCAGCTAGGGTTATGTAATGGTGAACCTAAGGAATGCGGTAATTGTGTCAATTATATATCTAATAGAGAAGCCTAGAGATGAAACAACGTGTACAAATAAGTATAGAAAGATAAGGTTTAAAGTATTTCAATAACACTGTGAGAGGGGGAATGTTTGCGGGTGGAAATGTTACACTGCAGCTAATGACTCTTTAAATTGATCGTGGTATTGGTTGTTTTGAATTGCATAAAATGTGTCACATACTTCAGTGAAATATTTAATGATGAATTTAATCTTTTGAGAAAATGTTTAAAAGTTTTCAAAGATAATTTAAATTACGAGTTAGTAGCCAAGATTGATTCAGTAAGTCATTGGATTTGTTTCAAATGAAGTCACAAACGCGACATGTATGATGACAACACAATGTCTAAGGTCAGAATAGTTTTTCTCTCTTGAATTGGGAAAGCAAACAAACATGTAAACAAGCGGATTAGCAGCGAGGATGATCACTTTCCTCACTAGAAAAATACAAACCCAAGTGAAATATCAAGGAAACCAACCTTGTGACTCCATAGAGCTATACTATTTATAACATTGTAAAAATTGGCTTTAAAAACTTAATCTCAATTTTATTATATTAAATATTACCAAAACATAAATGTGTGATTTTGTCCTACCGCAGTTGAGACTCTGATATTCTAGTGACATCTTCCAAAGAAGTACAGTAACCAGAGGGCTGGAAAACCCCCACAATGGAGCCAGTACTCGCGTGCGTAGGGATAGCCTACCTATAAAAACTGCAAATTGATTGGTGGGGTCGCTGCTACAGACTTCGCCATTACCACACAATGAAGGGAAAACAGGTCGCAAGACACTGATACTTAAAGAAAGATTACATGACCTCCTGAAAGGAAGAGCCAGTAGGGAGGGCCCAAGACACATCATATAAGCAAAACGGATAATCTCTACAATTCAAATGTCTTTGTTGGGTAAGGGAAGACGAGTTAAGGCTGCAAAAGAAATCTTTACTGGAAAGCAACTGCAGGTCTGATCTGTCACAAGAAATTGCAACTTAGGAAACCAACTCTCCTTTTAGCTTTATTGAATATACCTTTGCCACAAGGGAGCTGTCGTAAGAAAGCAGCTAGAATGCTCCAGACACTTCTACGGCACACTGAACGGAATGAAGGTATTGTGTACAATCGTTCACCCTGCTCCAGTCCAGAAACAGAGCTTTCCACGTCCAAGTCTCTGGATCCGGAACATTGGAACACTGAAGCTCTTTTATTTATCAGTATTGCCTTTTCTGTCGTATCTACTCAGGACTTGTATCGGTATATCCCTGATTAAACAATTGGGCAGAACATCTATGACCGGGATGATAGGGGAGGATCATGTTATCTGTTAGGTTTAAACAATTGATTCACTTTTTAAATGCCTTATTCGTTGCTCTTGTACTAAAACTTGATCTCGGTCCCAGGGACCTCGTATAGTTACAGGTCAACATGTCTGTCTCGAAGTTTTCGACATCCCGGGTTCGAATTCCTGTCTAACTGCTGCAATTTCCTGTTTCCTGCTACTTATCTACTCCTTATCAAACCTAACCACAAAATGTTAAATGTAGGGCCTCGTGTTCCGCCACCTTCAGAAATATTAAGCTCTATTTACCCAGCAATAGGAAAAGCAATAGCAATAGCGCCAATGACTCTTTAAAAGAAACAGTCATTTCTTAGCCTCCCAAGGGTACGAATGATTAGGGTGAACTTTCCTGTGCATGGATTAATAGAATCTTTCACCCCCTTGGGGGTGAGATAGGAGAATCTCAACCCGAGGGGGAGGATTCTTAAGTTGCCAAACACGAGGCTTTGCCGAGTGTTTGGCAACTTAAAAATCTTTCCCCGAGGGTTGAGATTCCAGTATCTCACCCGCAAGGGGGTGAATGATTCTTTTTCTCTTACCCTGTTCTCCCATTGTGTATCATATACACAATGTTATGATAACGTTACATGCTTAATTCAGGGTTGACGTGACGTTGATGGATTGTTGACGAGACGTCATTTTATTGTTGAAGTGACGTCATGCCATTGTTATGAATAGGGCAATCCCCCCGTCTTAACCCTAGGGTGAGACAAGGAAATCTCACACCGGTAAAAATGCGGATACACCTGTCCAGGGTAAGAGAAAGAACAGTAACAACTTGCGTGGTTCATATATACTTTGCAGATGAAATTGACAACCGGTAAAATATTTCTGACCCATTTTATAGTGAAGAAGTCTCGAAATTTATCAAACTACGTGGTATATACATTTATGTATTTTTATAAACATCCAAACAAAAATGTCGAATGATGCATATTAATTGCGCAAGCTTATTCGCCAGTAAAATATATCAAGTATGACGCACTACTAATTGTGCCCTTATGTATTTATATACAAAACACTGAGCCATATTGTAATTACAACAATATTTATTTCACCACACAACATCACCTCAAATCATGTAATAAATAATTCATGACAAAACGTTATATGTACAAAACAACATTTAACAAAGCATTGTATTTTATTTACATGTATAGGTCAACATTTCACATACACCGCAGACCTTGTCATGGTTTTACATTTACACACAAACAACAAAACATCGTTAGTCAGAACGCTTATTTTCATGTATGTACGTTTCTATTCAATGACACATAAATCCAGTTACAAGATAAGTTCTCACTGATTTTTTTTCTGCAATAGTTCTCTATTTACAAACATAGTAAAAGTGAGGTACAGCTTAATTTACGTTAGGACATAATTTTCAAGATTTAAAAAAAGCAATCATAAATCGTCGTTTCGTTTGTTTCATAACAAAATAAAAATGATTACACTGCTCACTTCTAAACGTTTTAAGTTTTCAAATTGAAGCTAGAGTTGCCTCCCCTTTACCTTGTTCTTTTTCAGCATTAATGGAGTAATATATGGATATGTCTAGTAGTATAAAATAGTCAAGGTAAATATTTTGTGTGAAAAAAATGTAGACAAACTTGTTATTATATTAACAAGAATTTCTGAAACATCAAAATACACAATCCAGCCTGTGGTTTAAAATTATTTCGGTTAATGTTCGAAATAGATACTGACGGCATTTCTATCGGCAAAGTGACAGAGATATAAATAGTATATATAATTCAATCCATGTAGGGAAAGTATGTGGACATACTCCTGTAAACAAATAGACGTAAGTTGAAGTGCACGCCCCCAACCTGATGATCATGTTTTTACAAAGATACTATATAAAGGTTGAATATATCTGCTGAATCAAAACGAAAATCGGTTACTTCAACCTGGTCATGGGTAGGAGAATATATCATTGCTTTCGTTACGTCATAATCTAAAGATAGAGACCCACGTCAATCACGTTAAAATTAGGAATAAAGGGAGGGTATTGCTTGCATGGTCTTATCGTCAAGGAAATGTCATTGAGGCCTTATTTTATTTGTAAGAAAGCAAACGGAAAAGTAGGTTGACTTCAGTGTATATTATTATGTGTTACCTTTACGCAGAGCCTGTAGACTTGCTAGAGACAACATACATGTAGAAAAGCAAGTAATAATCATAGGGACTGATAGCCAGTCAAATACCGGTTCTGATAAATGGTACAGTGTAAATATTAAAGTATATCTATTTGTTATTAACACATTTATATAACGCACGTGATTAAGTTTTACATAAGTGAAGCGGTATAAGTTTAAATATATTGAGGAATAAAAACTGAGATTGACTTAAAGACACAAATGAGTACTAAAAATACTCATACCACAAAAACAATGTCAGTTTTACAGTAACATAAAACCAATTAAAGTTATAACTGACAAACATTGACAACTTCAATCGTACCTTACCCGTAATTATACTTCCTCCGTAGCACTATACAGCCAATAAAACCTTTATAAACCGAACACAATATGGATAATAATATTTTTGTTCGGAATATATTTACATCTAAATGCATTCATGGTGACATAACGCAGGGTTCGGTCGGAACACATCAAAGTGCCAGAATTGCACGACAATCATTGTAATACATGAAGTGTACATATATATAAATTGATAAATAATTTCTGACATGCCTAAATATTATGTTTATGTTTCTCAAGACGATACATATATACAAGTTAGTAAGTGTACATGCGATCATACTGCGTGTTGACTGAAGTTTTACTGACAAGGTTAACTCAAACCGTGTACAGTATGTCACAAAGACACTTTTTTAGTATTTACATATGAACAACCATTTTGTTTGTTATTTGATTTAAATCAGTCATTGCATTTAACCACCGGCGAATATATCCTCACGAATACAAGTGCTCATGCAGCAACATGCAAATGAGGTGTACTTCTTAATTGCAGGCGATCAAAAGACATGCCGGAGGATTGTGGCATGGCTGGAGTTTAAGGGCTTGGACCGGATACAGAATGCCAGGGCCCTTCAGGAGAACCCTATACTCTCTGATGTAGGGGACACTGGGGAGGTGGGAGATTCCGGAATCAGTCCAACTGCTAATTCATGCTGGGCGTCTCCATTCTCATGCGAGCCACATTTTCTTCGTCGCTTAAAAATATATCAAAGAAAATACATTTTCACAAATGCTAAAGCTTTTTTAAAATCAGAATCATAAAATGTACCGCCAAACCCTCAGATTTAAATACATTGCTTCTATCTACTGTTAAAATAAACAGCAATGTCAATTATTATAATACATTTAAGGATCACGATGGCATGAAATTTACGACGCTAGCTTATAAACTGCAAATGTCCTGAAAACTGACTTGTTCCATAACAATTTTACGAAAAAAATGTTTCCTCTTTTTTTTCCATTGTAGGTGTCTTATTGTGACGATTTGAGGACATAAATGGGCATAACTATAGACAATAAATTTCTTGCTTTAATATCTGCATAAAGAAACTTACCTTTTCGATGTCCACACCGCATGTCAGAAATATTTTTGCCTTTTCAGGGAGACAAGGGAAGAACTGTTCCGAGAATGATAAGATGTACTTCATATTGACTTGTCTTGTCGAGGGTCTACCTATAACAATAACACGAAACAATGAACAAGCTACCTAACATAACGTAGATGACGCCAAATTGGACAAACATTGTGCTTATGGTTCTAAACGCCTTTTTTTATTTTATTTTTTATTTTGTTTAACGACAGTTATTCTATACAACCTGTCAAAGGTATAATATACCATGCAATAGAGGCAAGTTTAATTGGGTCATTGACAATTATTTTTTTCTCATTTCAATTAAAAAATTCAAGTGTGTTAATACACATTTTTAAAGAGGACGCATAAAACAGTCGGCTGACAGTGTGCGTGTGTGTGTTCGAGGGAGATACACTACACCTTCTGTTCAACTGCACTTGACAAATTTGGAGTATAAGATTGCTTTTGATAGGTATTACATTGTACGGTTTCTGTTTCCGACGGTGTCCTAGATACATGAGAGGTGAGTGGGATGAAATATAAAATGTCAAAAAACAGAACGAGTATAGACCTTTGATGCACCTGTGCATGTTTGGAGAAAGAATATGCCTGCTGTATCGTAAGAGGCGACTAATGTGAGGCCCTTGCAGATTCGGGGGATGCTTTGTCTACTTTTAAGGGGACGTTAAAGAAAACAAGTATAGAGCTGCTGTATCGCAATGCATGTTATCGTAAGAGGCCACTCATGTGGGGCCTCCTTAAGAATCGGTGTTTTCATCTGTGTGTTCCACTAGGAGGACACGGCAGAGACCCAAATTAAACTCCTCCCCCCACCCTAGTAGTTAGCGCCTGATAAGGCAGCTCCTGCGAATTCCTCAATATTGTATTGATTAATATATATGCTTATTGCATTGACTGTATAAAATTGAATATCTACATGAATGTACTATAAAGCGCTTTAGAGTGGCCAATGTTAGCTGGATAGTGCGCTATGTCAAATGTTGTATATTTATTTATTTTATACCGATTCAAAACGTTTTATAAGCATAACTGAACAAATTATTACTCGTGAAAGATTTCAAATCGGAAAATGTCGGAATGTTTCTGTCATATTGTGAGAGCAATCTGAGCTCAATCGTTTGCACTCACCCACTATAAAGCTGACTGTGATAGCGACTGTCAGGATCACAATCAACGCTAAGGTATCGAACCAGTAAAATGATATTGCATAAAACCGATCGAGTCCTTGCCTGTCAAATAAACAGTATTGTTTATACATTTAACAGTGCGAAACGTCATACAATTTACATAGAAATAAATGGACACACATAAGTTAATGATACGATCAATTAAAATATAGAGAATGGACATTTATGTTCAAATTAATTACATGTAGAATGATTCTGAATATGGGAAAATTCCAGCTTCAATCAATTTCATTTCCAATGCCGTCTATTTTTACGTTATACACCGTAAACCTGGAACTAATGATAACGATCGGAATTTCTAGAAATAGTCAGGATTATTCTAGATTCATTCAGATTAACACCGGCTTTTGTAGATTACGTCTGCGCTGATAAGCTAATCACAATATTTATTAAAGATAATTACATATTTCTCGTATTATGTTTGAATGAAAATTTGTTTATTAATTATCAATTTTGTTTCGTTGTGTCGTTATTTATAAATAACTGATACCGATTCCTAAGTAAAATTTAATTTACAAAAAACAGATGAATGTAAACAGTTACATGCATAAGAAACTGTTTGAGAACAACTCGATATTATTGATCCAACGGGAAGTTAGTTTAGGAATTAGTCATACTTACGGACCAGTATTCACAAATGGCGCTAATGTGGAGTTTAGTATATCCGGAACGGAAGTGGGCGTGTCAAATGTTGTGGAGACATTTTCTGGAGTTGTGATACTCATGTTCATAAAAGTGTTGTTTACAACCGGGAAACAACGGTCTATGGGTGCAAATGGTAGCGCCTGTTCTCTCCTGAGGGAGGTAGAAAAGCTCTGCCCCATAGATATCCATAAAGTAATGGCCATACCAGCTATTCCACCAACCAGACAGCCCTGATTTAGATAGAAATCAAGCTAAAAAGGGGGGATTCATCCGGGGACAATAGATCTGGGGAGTATCTGCGCAAATACTTTTCATGAAGCTATCAAGTTTACGCAGGGGAGATAAACATGTCTTGTTACAATACAAAAGAAAACTTCAAATTCATCTGTGAAAGAGAATCTGGTTTTTTTTAAGTGATGTTGCAATGACAAATATTCATATTTGTAAAACAATATTAGGTGTTTTCTGTACCCATATCATTGGTGTTTTTATCCGATTTGCTTAATTTCTGAATTTGCTATGGATTACATATCAAGGAAATATTGAATAATTGATAAAATTTATATTGAATTTATTGATTAAATTCTTACAACATGATATTTGATATGGTTCATACAAATTGGAGATATGTAACAGCAAATTATCACAGTTAATATTTGCTTCTATATTTCATAAAAAAGGGTAAATAAAAACTGTTTTAAAATGAAATGTGCATACATTTGTTGGCGTTCCATTGCATACGAGAGATAACAAAATTCACTTGTGAAGTTATCGGCCGACGCTTAAGTTTACAAGAGATACGAAACTCTTTCTGTAGTCTGTCAACCTCAATATAGACAGGAATGTTTAACAATATTTGGAGTACTGTAAATTTCCTAAAGCTCCTTCCTCTATTGATTGACAACACGATATCTGTCAAATATCAATGTTTTCTTCATCTCAACATTTCTACTGTAAAAAGCTGATCTTTTCCTTGAGTCAATATTTCGCGGTTTTACTCAAAAATCGTATTTCACAAAACTTTAGTTCCACGGTGAGATATAGCTCTACTAATTTTTCAACGTGATAAATATTATTCACGGGAATGTTTTTTTCCCAAGAGTATACCGAGCTCGAAAATAGCGAAAATAAAAATAACATGACAAATAGAGGGCTAACAGTGAGTCTTTTCACATATCCAACGCAATGCATACAATTTGGACATACCATGTGAGTAGCTCTGGGGAAGAAGATGGAATACAGGAAAATCCCAAGAAGAGGTGCTGTGAAAACAGACATAATACTCAAGGCTACCTGAAATTAGAAAAGATACGGATCAAAATGCATCTCCAAAATAATAAGGAATACTCAATTCAATTTTTGCATCGATTTTTCCGTGCAATATTAATCAAGTACATGAAACAATCACACAGCTCCAATGTTGTTCAACAGAATGACAATATTTAATACGATATTGAAATTGATGGTTTTCAAACTATTTCTGCTAAATATTTTCCCTAACCATTAGATATTACCACATCACACGGCTTACCACAAAATTTTACTAATTTACCCCAGTACTTACCATCGAATATGACTACTTTCCACCAGCAATTACCATCAAATAATAGTTACTGTTAGTACTTACTGCTGAATATGAGTACTTTACGCCAGCACTTAACAAAACATATTTGGCGTTTATGCCACACTCACTACCAAATATTACTACTTTATACAAGATTTTTCCATCGAAAATTACTACTTATGTAACACTAGAAACATCCACCGAATACTAACACTTTAAACCGAAACCTTTCACCGGACATTTGTACTTTAGGCCAGTTCTTACCACCAAATATTACTACTTAAATAACGCCAGCAATCCACCGAATAATAACACTTTAAACCGAAACATTTCACCGGACATTAGTACTTTAGGCCAGTTCTTACCACCGAATATTACTACTTAAATAACGTCAACAATATCCATCGAATATTATCACTTTAAACCCAAACATACCACCGAATATTAGTATTTTACGCCATCAATTACCACCAAACACTACTACTTTACACTAGTATTAACCATCAAATATACCAGACCTCACCACCGAACTTCACCACTTTACACCACCACTTACGGCCATTCTATTTCTGAATATCATTGTTTGGCCGCCATAGTTAGCACCATACACCAGCAGTTACTTTAAATGTTAACATTTTGATTCTACACTTTATTGTAGCGTTTTAGCATCAGTATGACTTTCGTACGATTTAACTTGTCGCTTTAACTAGCATTACCAGTACGATTATTTATTCCAACAACGTCATTTTCTCTATGAAACAACTCACGCGGTAAAGCGATCCTTTCATTTCTGCTACCAGGAAGGCCAAGGCTGTAGCCAGCAGGCCATACAGGACAACTACGAAGAAAACAAGGGTTCATTCATAGCTAAATTATCAATAACATGTTGATGATAATATCCTTCACTTTAATAAATATTTTGACAGATTCTAATTAAAAAAACGTTTGACAGCTACATAATTGATAACATAATAACGATTTCTTTTTCATAAATGTTTTCATTTTTTTCGTTGATAAATATGCTGACACGCTTTTGTTGATATATAACGCGTTTTCGTGTTTAGATATCTAATGTTTTTGTATTGATAAGTATATTGACGCTATCGTCTGGATAAACATTTTCTTGTTCTTTTATTGTTTAATTCTTCGCTATAACTACATGTATATTCTTTCACTCGTTTGCCTCCGTGCAGTTTCGTTGAAATTATGTAATGTACGTACATAGCTAAGACGATAATGTACCTGTAACTTTTGAAATGATCGCAGCCTTTGATTCAGATATCTTTTTGAAATGCGGCTTGATGAAATCTTCTAGAGTTATGGCGGACAGACCGGACAAATTAGATGAAACAGTACTGAAATGAAAAACAAATATATTATCATGATTAATTTTGCAAAACAAACATGTGCGTGTACTTGAAACACTGTACTGCATAGCAATGATGTTGGTATCGGTACTTTTATTGATTAAAGTGACAAATGTACAATGTTTTTTCCTAATATTGACAGGCACGGGTCTAGAAAAAACACAAGTAACAAAATGTTAAGTTACCTGGATACCTAAACTATAATAAGTACAGTGAACAAATTTCCGGAAATTTTAAGAACAGACCTGGAAATATATGTCAATATTTGGCAGTCACCATTTTATGTTTTTTTCATTTTGACTGATACTACGTTTACAATGCACGTTATGTACAGGCATGGTAAATAATAACCACAACATAGTTTATCTTGTTTAACTGTGAGGAATACATGTGTTTTGTATTGATAATTGACGACGATACCTCAGAGAAGCGGAGAACAGAGAAGCCATAAATAGTCCGGCCATTCCCGGCTCATCCCGGAATATATCCAATACCATATATGGAATCAGCTGAAAAATAAAGCACAAACGCCGATTGATATTGATAGTGGCAGGCCCTTGTTATATTTGCATGGTTACTTTACATAAATCATGCTAAAATGGGGAAAAGACAGGTTATTTCTAATACATTCCTATAGTGCATATATAACAATATCAGGAACATATAGCGAGTGAAAGCTGTACTTTAAAACATGATCAATTATCGATTAATCACACAGTAATACGACTTTCGTGAACATATCATACAATGGTACATATGTTCTTGATAACTTTGATAAGGAAAAAAGTATTTAAAAGTGAGATAGTAGCATTTTGATTCAAGAATGTTTTTGAAACATACAATTGAAAATTATGTCATTTGTTCTAAGGAAGCATTATAATTTCTTTTTTAAATTATCAAAAAATGATCAGATTAATTTTGTTGAAACCATTTTAATAGCCTCACTTAATTATTGTGTTGATCGTTTTCTTTGAAGGTCGTTAATACGGATACGGACCATTCGTTTTTAGAAAAAGTTGTCATTATCGGTCTTAATATAATTAGAATAGTTAAAATGAAACATCTATTTTCGGAACACAGGATAAAATTAGAACTCAAAATCGTCAAGTTTTAAGTCACTCCAACTTTAACTTCAAATGGTCTTCATCTTCAATCGTTTCGTTGACCTAGGTTTGTATTCATGGAACCGTTCTCATGCTCAAACTTATATTCTGTGCTCAATCCAATTTTTATTCCGTGATAAAATTAATAAATCTTACCCCTTGTCAATGACACTGAAGAACTTTGGATAAACGTAAATACCGTTTTCAATGTTTTGACTTGACACGTTTTGACAGTATCACATGTTTTAGCGAATTACAAGAAAGTTGGCTTCAGCAACGAATACATGCATGAGCATGAGATCGAGTTCGTGAATACGGACACATGCTATCAAAATGTGGATAAATAATGTTTCCGTGTAGGTGTAAGCATTACTCATTCTTACTTGGTTGTAGACGATTTTCTTTGAGAGTATGGGGTCGCATCTGATTGTGTAGTAGTAAGCATACGCCACCAGCCCCATAGCCATAGCAAGAGACATGGTTAACACAAAGGCCGGTCCGATCAGGTAAAATATACTGAAACCGAAACAGTATCCACATCAATAAATTAATGTTTTAGATAAAGCGCAAACCGGGTCCAGATAATGTCTTAACAATCATTGAATGAATTGTATCACATAAAAGTATCTTTTACGTGCATGGTTATCTTTTAAGATAAAAACCTGAATTTTTCTATTTGTCTATTTAGACACATCTTTGATTTCCTACAGAGTGTTTTGTGTTAATGTGATACATTGTCTAAGTTGAATATGCTGTTTCGAGCTAGTTGGGTTTGAAATAATAATTGGTTAGAACTGTTCCTAGCGTAATAAATGCCACATTCTTAAATAGCACTGTCTACGTATACATCACCTGTAAACAGTATCTATATAACCCTGTATACAATATAAAAAAACATGTTTACAATGTACTAGTTCATTGAAATGCTACCGGGTTACAACTGTTTACTATCACGTTGATTTTAAAGACTCGTTTTACAGGCAGTATCATTTAATTACATATTAATGCCAAAATACTAATTTTACATAAGATAGTTTGATATGCTATTTGAAAACATAAAACAAGACGTACTATTTCGCATCCTTTGCACTTTTGGTACAGCACACACGCTGAACAGACGTCTGACGGAATGGGATCACTAGTGCCTTGACGGTCGATCCTATCATCAGGCTCCAGAACGTGTATTGTCGTGTAGGATCGATGTCAAAGCTGAAATGGTCACGTTTTAAATCAATGTGTAGCCAAGAGTCAACGAAATAGACATTGTACTGTAATTCAGATTAACTAGGAACACACTTAGTATTTCCTGTAACACGATGTCACATTTTTCTGTGTTCTATAGCTAGAAAATGTATCATAACTATCACGATTAATAACAAATTTTGTCAATAACGAACTTATACTCTCAAACTCGTTCCTTCATTATGATTTTATTCATGAAACCCGTTGATACTTTCGTTAAGATAACCATGCGCTGAACATGAAGGTTATTCAGGTTATCGAACGTATCGTGAATTACGTTGTCCATGCAATGACAATTAAGGCTCGTTTGTCCGTCCTCATAAATCATGTTCAAAAGTGCTTCAACAGTTTATGTTAGGTGTCCGATTGTCATTATCATAGTAAGGTTCCCGTCTCTACAGTTAAAGTGTCGATAGAGAACAGGTTGTACTAAAACTGATTACCGTAGTAACAAGTTACAATGTACAATGTAAGTTTATAAAACAAGAACCAAACAAGAACAAAATTGATTGCCAAAAGTAGTATTTTATTCTTTTAACTGGCGGTAATTACTAGTACACTGAATCCCCGAAAATGTTACACTTTTACAAAAATGTAGTGATTTAAATTTACCATAAAATTGCCATTAAGCTAACCGGGCTTGAATACAAATGAGTTCAGCAGATTCATTGTTAATACTTTTGAGCCAGTTTACAAAGCCTTGTTAGCTTAACAAGGAAATAGCTTATTTTGTCAATGATAATTTTAGAAATGATGGATTTTTATCTTGTATTATTTAAAACTACAGTAGACGTAGGTGGGCATGCAAATGGTCAAAACCAGGGAGTACAATACAAAAAACATTTGCCTTAATTTAAGCGAATGAATCTTTCTACAAGGAAGCCATGATGCTTGTCGTCAATTAACATTATTATGAAGCCTTTTGGGAACAATTGGGAGACGGATTTTGTAAATAGCTGTCCACAAACGTCCAATTGATAACCAAAAATTAGAGGTTTACTCTTTCTTTAAATCTTTGCTGCTTTCCCAGGGGCTAGGTAGTTCTAAAAAAAGCCATACCGCTATGGTTTACCATGGATGTTAACTGGTAAAAATGTGTCAGTAGGTGAAGGTATTTCTATTCTGTGTTGCATTAGAATGAACCTTCCATGCACAAAAGTGGTACCAAAAGTATATTTTTCAGTGGTGATTATTTCAAATTGTTTTAGGATGATAATTTCGTTATATTTTTTATTTTTTTATTTATGATATTCGCTTTACAGACGATGTTTGTTAAGTATAGCATTAAAGCAATGGTACTTTAAGCATTATCCTACAAATTTTAATAATTAGCATGTGTGACCAACCCGGACTGCGGTCGAAAACTAAGTCGATAAAACTTGAGGAAATATAAACCATGTTACACCGGGTCTGCGGCAAGATTACGACCTATCTGCGACCATCAAATGTTGGAATCGTCATAAAATATATAATTAATTTATTAACTATACATTTAATACAGGTATGTATCTTTTCGTGTTTTGAATTAAAGTCTTCACGAATATTGATCTAGATTTTAAGCAGAACCGTGACATCAGTAGTGGTAAACGTTACTAATCAGCAGAGTTTAACAACAGGTCATTCTGGAATCAGAAGTCAACCAACAAGGTTAAGTTCATAAATAAAACACATCTGACACATATCGTTGCCCTATCTTACCTGACAGGTTGAAGTCGTCCTGTCGCCTTATTTATGTCCCACACTTTCCTCAGCCCGCCAGATAGCATGGTACCCTGTAAACAAGAACAACCTCCGAACAATAAATGGCGTATCTTCCCAAACGGAAGCAGACAAACTTTGATCCACGTTAATCCGTTTTAGTGTAAGAGGGCAGATCTTTATGTATTTCAATAAACAAGATAACAGTCTGTATAATGTTACTTGCCAATGACATTTCAGCCAGATAATAAACTAATATGCGACAGACACTTTTAGTTCAAAGATTACATTATTTACAATAATGATAGGCTGGCAACGAACATGAGGTTATCACTAGATTTCGATTGAAAGCTGTTAAAAAGAATGAGGACTTTTCTTGCCTTTTTGTTGTTTCATCAAATACCTATTGTCTTTTCTTAACAAACTGGTATTCCGATTATGTACTTTTAATCATATCTAATTGACACTAAAATATAATTATTACATTGAATTTCGACTAGAAATATCATTTTTATATTAAATTGGCATTTAACATTTCTTACAATAATTCATTGCCACTAAAAATTGTATACCTATGGAGACATATTAATATTGCCTCTAGAAGTATGAATATTATATTGTAAAAGGGTCCCTAGAAATATCGACATTATTATCAAAGCATCGTTGTAGCAAATCGGTCTGTTTAAAGGAGTACGGATTGACCAGGTTTCAAATAATATTTTGTCATTATTCTGTAACGTATCGTCTGTGAAGACTCACCTTAATTAAAACTGCAAATATCCCCATATACAGGATAAGGAATTGAAACACATCCGTCCAGACCACGGCTTTTATACCTCCCTATACAGAGAAACAAAACAATGTAAAGTAAAGGTTAGTTGTGCAATACACCGTTTGATCGAAGTGTAACAAGAAAAAATGTTTTAACATGTTAATTAAACAAACACCTTCATATGAAATACACCAGACCACATGTAGGATAAATAGAATCTTTAACTCCTGTGTAATAAAGGCAGATATTTCTTAAGCTCAGGGTTACGTGTTTGAAGTTAAGCAGGAGGCTTTGCTGAGTCCTAATCTTTAAAAGTCTTACCATTTGGATTGAGATTTCTTTGTTAGCATTAAACTGATATATGGAATATTTTTCTCTCGCATTTTTAACCATAATAGCGGGTTTGGTGAACTAAATTCACCGCGCAGTAATAAAGGGTGAATGAAATGTGTTACAACATTTTGACACAATCCTAGTTACGATGCATAAATTAATGACGGGATAGTGACGTTTTCAGAATAAAAGCACGTGAAAACTACGTTTCCCTACAAATCTCTGATCGGCTGACGATCATGAAAACGCGATAGTAGACATCATTTAATTTTCTTTTCGATAATCGAGTGATTATATCTACCGCCAAAATAGAGTCAACAATTGACATAACCTATTTAGGTAATCTATTTTTTTGACTATTGCTATCTTTACCGAAATCAAAGATAGGCAAACAAATAGTTAATTGTAATGCAAGTGTTAGGATATGACAAATATACCCGTCGGAAGAACATATATATTGTTTAAATATTTACCTATTTATGATAGAATCATTTGTCCCACATAATAGTAAAAACATTTTACTCTTCTAATTTACCCGTTAGGTTTCGAGTTCACCGAATAAACAAGTAGTCCTTCAAAAACCAATAAATATACAAGATTTACTGAACACTTTCATTCACATTTAATAGACATAATCTTTTAGTTAAAATTGTTTATTAATTCAACACATTATGACCCAGATATTCGAATCACGGGGTAAGAAACGAAAGAATATTTCAATAACATCTAAGCAGATCTATTTGCCTGTACTTTAGTTAAACGCTTTTCATACAAACATTGGCTCAAACATGATTGAGATTTCATTTTGGTGAACACAATTAACCATTTTAATACTTTGTGTCTAAAGCATTTCAATTACCGGAACAAGGAATAAGAATCAATTCAAACGTCAGATAGGGAGGATATATCAATGACCTCTGTGCGCATGCGTTTACTTTTATATGAATATTGAAAAATAAAATGAAAAACTATTTGCAGGACCTTATATATCATAAGTACGGGCTTACATATATTGTAAAATGTCAGCTTAATGGCTCGTATTACGACAAGGGCATGCGTGCGATCTGATCTGCGAGTGGCATTGACGCTAATGTGGGCGGAGTGGTCGAGTGGCTAACACCCTGGCCTTCCACGCAGCCGGCCGGGGTTCGACCCCGAAGTCGGCGTACGCATGGATATTCAGAGAAAATGTTTTTCTCCTGCCCACACAACTCCAACAACCCAGGTGGAGTATAAATTGGTATGGGGTGGATGTTGCGGTATCTGTGCTGTAGCATTCAAGTGAGGTGACACTATAATTGATACCGTTGGAAGGACGGTCCCACTACAAACAGAATACATAACATCTCCAGCATACACGCAGGCATACACACATAGGGAGATATTAGCCAGATGGCATAAGACTAGTAGTTAGCACCTGATAAGGCAGCTCCTGCGAATTCCTCAAAATTGATTTTTGTTTAATGTATATGCTAATTGTATATCTATGTACTGTACAGCGCTTTAGAGTGGCTTATGTTAGCTAGATAGGGCGCTTTATCAAATGTTGTATATTTTATTTATTTTATTTTATTTTATTTTATACTAAACATGCCTTCAGTACTGCGTAAACCGCATGAACAGGAAAACCTGTATCCCAAGTTAGTAGTCATTAGAGGGATCTAAATCCCTTAAATCTTCCTACATGTTTGTTCCACCTGAAAGGTTTTCACAACGGAAGATTTCCCGAGAAAGTGCCAACAAATCCTCGGGGTTTCCCACAGGTTGGAAACTTAACGGGTTGAAGTTCCACTTCCTACACCCTCGCATATGAAAGAGTCTCCAACCAGGATGGAATCCTCTCCTTAATATTATAAATATAGATTTTTCGTCACATTCAAGCACAGTCAGTGCTATCAGATATCAAATCAATGTCGACCTAACTAGATACTCCTATGTTGATAACAGAGTAGTAGTATCTAACAGATGTGTGGTTCCCAGCAATCTGGCCTTCAACATGGCCTTACTTTGTATGCAGATAGTAGAAAATGCTCGGTTCAAAATATATCAAAAACTTCATATATCTCATAAACCATTGGATTGTGACGTCATTTCGGCACAAAATGTAGATATAGTAGACAAAATGATGTGGCAGATCTTTACGACAAAGTTGGGGTGGGGTGGGGTGGGGGTNTACGATAGTTGACACTGGGTGAACAAATGAATATATTTTTTGGTTAAGTGAACATAAATAGAGATACATAGGTACATGTAGAGTAAATGTCAATATAAAAGTGAAAACAATTTTATTAATAACAACTTACAAGTGATGTGTATAGGATGGAGGAAACAGCCATGGAGAGAACGGATACCCAGAATGGTACACCTGTCACTGAAAAAGCAATAATAGAACAATAATGAGCAGACAATCACATAAAAATAGTTTTATCACCTCCTGATATCTCGAAAAAGCGGTACGATGATAGGTAGTCCGAATTACTCTGACGTTTTATCGCCTTTGTTCATATCGGTCTGTCGTCGATTAACCTAATCGACGACAGACCGATATGAAAAGAGTCGATAAAACGTCAGAATAATTCGGATTAGATGATAGGATAAGCAGCACACTGTTGGTATAATTTAACCTGCCTACACTGACCCATAGATATACCGGTAACTGCTAGGTCTCAATGCAGACATATATTGTAGTCAAAATTGTCGCTTAATAATAATAAAAAAAAGCAGTATCTTCTGGTCAAATATTTGCTTCATATGTACCTATTACGCACTTTATTCGTTAATACACATAACAGACACATTCATTTAGTCAATCTGTTTCCGAAAAAATGCATATCTACGTGTCTTAACTGTTAGTAATCAGTTCAGTTCATTTCTTTTCACATACTACCTAGACTGATTACCAGCCCCTAAGTTTTTATGAAGAATTTCTCGGCTGCATTTTACTACTAGGTTATCTCCCCCTACTTTAGAACTTAGAATCAGACATCCAAGTGATAAACTGAGTTATAAAAAAATCTTCATGATTCAATATTCTAGAGACGGGGGCCTGTCTACATACTACCTAATGTCGCCTAAAACACGAAAAATATAAAGTCAGTCTGTTAATCATATTTTGTCTATCTTATTGGCACTAGGTAAATACTCAACAAAGATCCATTGGTCCCTCAATAAAAATAATATCCCAGAAAACAGGCATATTACAAATACAATTATAATTGAATTGTTGATTTAGCTATTGATTGAATGCAAAGCTACAATCTAAATTGTCTACAATATGAAAACAATCGATTGTTTGACAATTCCATGGATATGCACTTGGTATAAATAAACATTGGATTGTGTTAACATACCTAGCGGATCTAATTGCTCTTTGTTGGAGTCAGCTTTTTATGTTATTATCACGATGTCAGAAATGGAATAATTTCCACTTCAAGCACTTTTTGATTAGCTGATTGGATTAACGTAATAAATCACTTAGATGTGTTCGATATGTAAATATCGGTGTGTTCTGATGTAGACAAAGCCAGTTACTACAAAACAGATTTAAATCAAGAAATATGTATTTATAATATACTAGGGCTAATAGTGTTACATCATTGATATACTAGGGCTAATAGTGTAACATCATTGATATATTAGGGCTTAAAGTGTAACATCATTGATATACTAGGGCTAATGGTGTTACATCATTGATATTCTAGGATTAATAGTGTTGCATCATTGATATATTAGGGCTTAAAGTGTAACATCATTGATATACTAGACATAATAGTGTTACATCATTGATATACTAGGGATAATAGTGTTACATCATTGATATATTAGGGCTTTAAGTGTAACATCATTGATATACTAGACCTAATAGTGTTACATCATTGATATACTAGGGCTAATAGTGTTACATCATTGATATACTAGGGCTAATGGTGTTACATCATTGATATACTAGGGTTAATGGTGTTACATCATTGATATACTAGGGCTAATAGTGTTACATCATTGATATACTAGAGCTAATGGTGTTACATCATTGATATACTAGGGTTAATGGTGTTACATCATTGATATACTAGGATTAATAGTGTTACACCATTGATATACTAGGGCTAACGGTGTTACATCATTGATAAACTAGGGCTAATAGTGTTAAATCATTACATTAATGAATAACTTCATATTATTTATAATTCCATTCTAGATTATGATATATGGAACATGAATAACACAAACAAATTGTGCTTATGAACGTTTTGGTAACTTATGTCATTTATACATTTGTACAAAAACTACAATTCAGCATTGGCAACCGGGTTTTTTTCCCGGCATGACCATAGCTGGTATTAATCGTTTTTGGAAAAGATGCCCAAACCAGCGGAACGTTTCGCAGTTAAAAGTAATAAAAGTACCCCAATATTCTTCTTTGTCACGTAACAACAGAGTAAACATCAAACGGGCCATACGCGGATTCGAACCATGGACCTCAGAACTCGTGAAGATCGCTCTAACAAACTGAGTTAGCTCATCACTGATAATCATGTGGCTCATTTTCCCTTCAATTTTATCCGAAACGAAATTAAAGGCGATAAGATAATCAGCTGTGAAATTATCCATGGTTTTGTATGCTGTGGGGCAGGGTCCTTAATTCAGGCAGACTTAGTATTACACGTGAATACAGAAGAGACTGTACAGCCTCCTCCCCCATACATTTAGACTGTTCACGGGATACTGGAGACAATCAACATCTCTGCCGGATTTAATTTCACGTATCAACCCCATTGATATCATCAACATCATCAAAAATGCACAAGGGAAAAAGAAAACAAGAAGTGGTGCTCTATTTTGATATTAGACTGGTGGTAAAACAATATAAGTTCAGATATAACCTTTGTTGTGACGAACTTCTTAAAAATAAGACCAAATGTACCTGTGTCAGCGAGACTTAACCAAGCCAAAACAAAAATATATATATAAGGTACACTTCGTAACTCGCATGTGCAACGGAAACGAAGTAAGTGCCCATTTTATCAAATTAATAAGAATGTAATCCTTATGTTTGTCAGACCATCAATACGTTTTCTAAATGAATCGAGTTTAATTCTTTCTTCTATCTCGAAACATCTTTAAACAAGACCAATGCATTTGCAATGGTTGTTTAAGCAAATTCGGAGGAAAAGAAGTATTAATGAATTTTAATAATTCAAATCTTACATATTTTGAAATAATGTCGTTTTTCGTTTTTTAACTAGTGAATAGAATGAAATGAAAATAACAAGAAAGAGAAAGACAGTAGAAGCCGCCCGTATTTTTTTTAAAAAAATACCAACTCACACTTATCCGAATAAGAGAAGCGACTTCCGGACATTGATATCCATGTTAATGATGCCTACACATTCTTTTATTTGTTTTAGACTTTACTCCCTTAAAATGCTGTAGGAGAACTTCTTTTAGCGGGCACAAATTCTAGCGTATTATCGAGTTCAACTGTTTCGCGCATTGATGGTTTGGCGAATCCATTAAATATTCAATAAAAAAATATAAACAGTAACTTTAATTATTGAAACAACAAATTACCACCATGTTTTAAAGCGCTAGAATAAGAATGCCGCTAAAATATCTACATTTACAGTATGCTTTTCATACTAAAGAATACATATTTTCTCGTGTACTGTTCAGATTTGTCAATCACATGATAAATAATTTACATGCAATGTCAAAAACTACCATTGATTGAAAAAACATTTTAAGCATGTTAACGTTTAATATTAATGTTAATGGAATGAAAAGTCATGTCAAATGGTGGGAGATATCCTTAAATAACCACCCTTCATGCAAATGTTTCGTCGGAGCCAAACTTGTCTGAACTAACGAGTATCCAATATAATTGCATTTATGGCATAATAGTACAGAAATAACAACGTCTAATGAATCGCTTACTTCCCTATCATGTTTTGATGTGATGGGGAATTTGATCTGAAGTAGATAGACTTAGTCAACGTACCTCCTTCCATGGCTATTGCCGGTCCATAAAGCACCAATGCGCTGTACATCGTCTGTAAGGACAAAAGGTCAAAAGGTCAAACAAGTCTACTCGTTTGCAGACGATCTCAAGTGCAAAGTCGTCGAAGATAATGTTTTAACAATATCAAGTATGGTAAGAAAATGGAAGGTGATTTGAGAGAAAGAAGAGAAATTTTCTCAGGAAAGTAAGTTTAAACGGGAGATTGAGGAAGGAAAAAATCGATTAAGTATGATAGCAACAAAAGGGAGTGGAGGGTCGATAATTTAACAGGAAGTTTGTGGATTGTTAGATGTTGAAGGAAATAAAGATATGAGGATGCATACTATAAGAGAAATATAGAAGAGAAAAGTTAAGGTACCTAAAAATGGAAATGGAGGAGAAAAACGGCGGGAAAAGAGAACGAAAGAAGGAGAGGAAAGTGATATGAGAGATAGATAGAGGAGATTTGGATGGAAATACACAGATAGGAATAAGGATTTTGATATGAGAAATGGGAGAATAAAAGGTTACTTCTTTTCTCGAAAGGGAGAAGACTTTCCGGGTTTATCTATTAATTTTTACATGTGAACCCAGAATACATCCCCAACTGTTGCGTACAATTGTGACCATAATAACCAGAAACTTGCCAACTCCTACCAACCTTCCGAGATATTATTTCTATGAGAGCTCGCCAAAACGTCATAACTGACAGACCGTGCAATAAATTATTTTATAATCATGGTACTGAATTGATTGACACGCGCATAATTTTGAAGGAGAATAGCACTAGCTAAACGAACATCGTAAACATTACTTTTTTTTTGCTTTACAACACAGGTTAAATGACTGGTATTTCCGTAATTACTAAAATAACAACTAAAATACGTGTTTTGGAATCAATTGGATGACATTCAGATAACAAATATAAGATTTTTTTTAAATTAGTTTGAATTTACCTCATTGGGTAATTTTACCTTTGTATCTCGATTTGAATATAAATTGACACCATTAATTGTCCATGATAACTTTAACTCCAGACTGACATTTTTATTAATCAATCCCATCACACAAAGCCATGTTACCTTAACGACACAGGTAACGAAGATAATGTTTATAAAAAAAAATCTTAATTGAATTTCCAAAACAAACCTATCATGATCCATGATTCGAAATGATAATATGACGAAAAACTAAAAGTACAGAAAAATTCCTGTCTGAGAACACTTTCGAAAAATAATTTGCAAATTTGATTTACCTGGCCATCAAGCTTACAACTTGCTATAATTGATTTTTGGTCATTACACCGGGACATTACTTGTCTGGAAACCTCGTTACATGACAATCTATACCACTTGTAAACAAAATCTATCACTTTCATGGGAAATCATTAGGCTCTTTTCAAACATTGCACAACATTATGTAAAGGTACAGCACACGCACATCTTCTACTAAAACGAATGCCAGTGGGTAGAATACACGAACTAGACTACAACCTACGATAATTAAACGAAAGGTTTATACAAAAACGATTTAAATTTCATGATATGCAAGAGAGTCTTAACTTTACAATCTGAGCACGTATCTTGGTTTGTATATGGATTACTTAACGTTGTGTTGGAGACGCAGATAACGGCCTTTACAGTTCATACAAATCTGACATGTTGTATTTTGAGGAAACACCTGTATTCACCCCTGCCTTTCATCTTAAAAATAACAATAGAATCATCGGCCACATGCCTCACATAACATCCTGACTGAGAGATAACAGAAGGATATTATATGCTCGAATCATCACCACTGACCGGATTGTTTTAAAGGCTAGTTAGCTTAATTGGTTCAGATCAGTTTTGATTATATTCTTAATTTCAAAACCAATTGATTGATAAGATGACTAGTAACAAGATTTCTTTTTTTTTGTATTTCAGATTGAAATTGAAAGAATGAATTGCAATATTTTTAAATAAATATTCTACATGAATAAAAGTTGGAGGTTTTCGTAAAGCTGACTAGGCTTGGCATACACATCTATCTGGGCCACAGGTTATTTTTCTATTTTTTTGCGTTTATGAACAAATATGCTGTAATATACTTTATGATAAAATGCATCCGTATGTTTTACACACCTGGATTATCTAAACAAAATATTTTTTATATAAAACGAAATATTTTGTTACAATTATCCCGTGCCTGTTCTGCATGAAAGTAAAGGAAAATAGGGATGGCAAACCTAGTAGTCGAAATAAATACAAACAGTGTAGGTATACAAAATGGAATGTGTTCGTAACCAGATTATGTGACGGAAGCTTACTAAGCCTAAACTCTACCATTGAAGTACGACAGTCATACGAAGGGTAAATTTTAGCATAATCATCCTGTTTAATTATTGAAGGACACATTCAACTTACAGTCAATCACTTATTCAGTTGTAAACCCGAGTTATGTTGTGGCACACTAACTGTGCAATATAATTCATATCGATGAACAACATATAAATTACATTAAATATAATCTGTATTGTGTCTTTTAGATTTAGATTAACACATGAATAACACATGTTTATATAACGAGGAGGTGTCGTAAAAAACCGCAGTAACGGAGCACCTAATTAAATCTAGCATGTCCATGCAGAAAGCCAGACACATAAGAATTGTACTGCACCACATGTCAATTTTGTTCAATCAGGAATCATCAGTGTTACTTAATGCCAAACGAATGAGAAAAACATGTTAAGTTGTTCCCAAATGTATGACAAAAGGGGACAGATAACTTAATCCTATTCTAGTATATCATGAAAATCGTACAAGAACAAATTCCATCTGCAATCCTACGGCAAACCTCAGTGACTGATAGTCCTCCAGTAGAGCCAACCTCATTATCACATTAAATAATTTCTAGAATTACGAAATAACAAATCACCAAATTAAAAATACGCTTGACATTGCAGAAGGCCAAAGCAAACATAAAGCCATTTCGTCCATAAATGTCAATAAAACCGTCACTTGAAGTAAGGGGTAAGCGTCTGCAGCTTCAACAAATGCAAACACCATGTAAATGTAAGTGAAAATCAAAGTGATGTCACGTCCCCAAAGTAAGTACGAGGGTAGAGATAACAAAAGCTAATAAGCATAACCGCGCGATATAATACACTTAGACCGCACAGGTAATTGGATATTTCCTAGTGCAACTATGACTTGCTCATAGTCAAACTTACAAGAACAATACCACCAATACTTTCACCGCCACTCAGTTAATTTAGTTCAAACAATTGTAGCATAGGGCTTTTATGAATGAATGGACTATATACTTTGATTTGCATACATATACTGCGATACGTGTATTTGAGAGAAGAAGCCATTTTTTCCACAACATGAAATCCCATGGCTTCGTAGCTCTTTTACAACGTATCGGGATGGCTTTTGAAAATTATGAAAAGGCGTTGAGATTTCCTAACTGATTCATCTTATAGTTCGAAGGGGAGCGACCTTATTTAAGCTAAAAACAAGAAAAGCACGACCGAATACAGAAAGATCGTACATAACAACTATAAAAAAAAAACCACTTAATGTAATTATTTCAGTTCACTAGGATTTGCATACATATACTGCGATACGTGTATTTGAAAGAAGAAGCCATTTTTTCCACAACATGAAATCCCGTGGCTTCGTAGCTATTTTACAACGTATTGGGATGGCTTTTGAAAATTATAAAAAGGCGTTGAGATTTCCTAACTGATTCATCTTATAGTTCGAAGGGGAGCGACCTTATTTAAGCTCAAAACAAGAAAAGCACGACCGAGTACAGAAAGATCGTACATAACAACTATAAAAAACCACTTAATGTAATTATTTCAGTTTAGGTAATATATGGGGGTAACAATTGTAAATAAAGTTGTTCCAGAGACATCCGATCGGCTTCGGAATTAAACAAAGTAAATATAGCTATAGTACTGTTGTCTGGACAGGTCAATATTACCTGAATATGTGTGATGATAGTGTAAACCATCAGGGAATTGTAACGGATTCAGACAACATCGAGATCAGACATAATGGTTATGAAACGTTATTGACAGATGGAATAGGTAAAATACTCCCGGGAATGTCCTGTCCTCAAACCAATATCGTCGGAGTGAGAAATCACATACTGATATTTAATCGTATTGTAAAATGCGTTCCAGTTCTCGCGTGGTACGGTTCAGTATTTGCTTAAACAGTATAGTCATTTAATAATACAATGTTAATGATTTTCAAGCGTTGGTAAAACCCAATCATCCAAGCGTTTTAATAATCACTGCCAACTTGTGACGTACAATAGCTGTTATCTAACCAACAGGTGTGTCTAATTTTCTAGGAATTCATTATAGAAATTGATTCAGACCTAGTTTTCAGATACGGTCGTTTTCTATGTGTTCCGATTGACCTCAAAATGAAAACAGAAATACCATCGATTCCTAATAGCAATACAGCGTATATTTCCCATACAATATTCGTATATTGTCTGATCACAATACGGTAAATTTGTTTTTTTATTTTCTGTCTGTTTGTATTTTTTTATTATTATAACCAGAATGATTTTCCCGGGGATATATACACTGTATTGTCTGCGTTTTCACAACAAGCTGTTAGGAATCGAGAAATATCCGTTGAAGAGTGGAGGGATATCTTTGTTTCTGTTGTTATTGTTGTTTTCTTAACAACTTCGTGTTCTAATTTTGCAGCATTAATTGCTACAAATAAAATCGTCTTCATGGAAACCTCCTGGACAAAGGTTCATCTGTGTCGTTGACAAAGGGAAAAAAAGTAAGGCGCAAATGTTTCGACAATTCAATATGTTCACCTATATAAAAGGTTGTTCTTTGTGTCTAATCTTTTAATCTGTGTGGTATAGCTGATTTGGAAAAACTTTTACTGTAAAATGTCGGGTTTTTGTTTCTATATACTTTCATTTCTGTCTCCTGCCATTATAATGTTCATTATGTTAGCATTATTTGTTTTGAAATAAACTTATGTATCTCAGTGGAAAGGCCTTACAGATTCGGTAAAAAGTACGCATTATAGTTGAACAAATCGACACACTATGGAACAAAAACCCTACGGAAGATATCATCTAAAAGATACCGATCAACTCGGTTTGTTTATTGTTTGAACTTTTCCATTCTCCTCAGTTTAAGTGTTGGTCATTAGGACGGGGTGTCCACTTGTGATAGAGCGGTTGGTTAGTTAACTGGTTCAAAGACCAGATTGGGATCACGGACACCTTTGTTCCACACAACTTGATAGTACTGGTTGGCGGCGGCTACGTGTAGCGATGGAGCCAACGTTGGGACTACTTTTATAGTGTCACGTTACTGACATCTCAGCATCACAGACGCTGGTATTACTTCAAATCTTAGCGGGTACATACACGTTGTCCTTTTAATCAGGAAGAATGGACACAGTATTATTTTACATACAGTGATGAACCATTCAAATATATGTGGATAAGCGATATCTGCATCGTTTAGATCCAATTACTGGTCAGATAAAAACAGTCCTCGATACCGTGTGTCAAACAGCTCCCTTGGATTCAAAAGTTGTAAAAGTGGTTTAGAAAAATCATATTTGTAATAAATTTCAAAATTGACGAACGGAATATATTACGGTATCATATAAAGCCAATATTTATTGATACACGTTATTCAGTACATAACAAAATGCGATTAGCGATAAGTTTTATCGTATTCATACCACGAAACTGTCATTATTGAAAGAATAGAAATGTTCACTCCAAAATTCATTTAAATATATTTATTACATTTTTGCAAGTAAAATATAAGGATTCATAGTGAAAATAAGGTTGACATATATTTTGAAGTGAAATTGATGTGTTTCAGAGTAAACTGACTCCTCAAATATCAGCACCGCGGTTTACGTTCTATTTTAATGTAAAATTTACAGCTAAAAAGTAGCAGTAATTGATCATGACGTCACAGGAAAAGACATTATCTGAGTATGACGTCATCAACAAATAGCAAAGCTTAGCGTTATTCGACGTCCTAATACTAGAGATGGTACCATCATTCTGTCCAATAATCCAGTTCGTCGTTATTTAACAACATAAAATATAATCGACAAAATTATGTTCTGTCCATCATCCAAGCTCAGCGTTGATGGATGCCCAAATAATGCTGACGAATATATTTTGACAATTGATCAAGTTCAGCGTTGTTAGACGCCCAACTAACGCTGACGAGTATGTTCTGACAATTAACCAAGCTCATCGTTGTTAGACGCCCAACTAACGCTGACGAGTATATTCTGACAATTAACCAAGCTCATCGTTGGTAGACGCCCAACTAACGCTGACGAGTATATTCTGACAATTAACCAAGCTCAGAGTTGTAAGACACCTTAACACTTTTCAACGACAAATATATTCTGCGAAAGGAAGGTTTATATTAACTGGAAACGTAAGAGTTTTATTGTACATTGTAGTATTATACTTTGTATAATAGGACACACGTCCTTAACGTCTTAGGAAGATACTTGGCATATATCTAGTAGGTATGCTTCGTACTCCTGAACCTACCACTGATAAAATAGGAAAGGTATTCATAAAGCAATGCTGATATAATTTGTTTTATTACACAGCTAAATTAAGGTCGATAAGTGTGTCAATTTATGAAGGAAATGAACGGTAATGAACAATGCCAAGTCGTTGATTAGTAGTCTTGTAATGACCGAATCAATTAAGTATACGATATCAAAGTACTGTCAGCTTAACCAATTAATAGTAGTATAAAATAACTTCAAATATTTTAAAAATATGTACTCGAAATTTAATATCTTTCTGTCTCCGTACCATTAGTAGAGTCCTTCATTTGAAGATTAATTATAAAATCCCATGCAGTTTAACAGGACTTCGCTGTTGAATGAAGATTAGTTTATTGTTAAGATACTTTTTTTTTTGTAATTTTTGACATTAATTTACATATAAACCCATAGCAAAACGACTTGAATCGGATTTCGGATTGTTAATACGAAGACATGTACCACAATAGTATAAGATATAACGCTAACATTTCTTATCGGAAAATGTGTCGTTGTAAAACATGGAGGTCATTTATGACAATTACATGTAGATGGCCATTCCAATATTATAGAATTCCCTACATATTATCATTGATTAATGCTTCATGATATTTAGGCAATTAGTTACCTTTATGATAGTAAGGCAATTGTATAGCTTGGTGGTAATTAGGCAATTAGCGACAATTCACACTTACGTCGACCATAGCTCCACAAATCGAGGCAAATCTACGTACGGCAACAGCTCCATACCTCAACTCAAAGTACTGAAAAAAGGAAACAATGACATCTCAGTTTAGGTATACAATGAATTAAACAGGTGATAGATAAATATACATACATGTCATTACGCTCATGTGTAAGGGTATATTCAAAATGGCCACAACAACATAACAATCCGGGAGTACCCAAAGCAACATAAATGACATACATCACGAATCTAAACTGAAAACGTCAGTTACCCAAGAATATCCCAATATAACACCATTATGAATACAGTAAAAAATGTGACGGTAAAACTTAACGTCATCACAGCCAGGATTAGGTCAGGAGAACACGATAGAAAACAAAATACTTTGGTGTATAAAATCCCGATTCTGCATTTGGGGCACGCACAATTTGTAACTCGCTTCATACCCGAATGTGTTTCAACTCTATTATAACATTTTTGCCGTTGAAATAAGTGCTTCAAAGTGAAAATACAGTACAACATAGCATATCAGAATGAAACATTACATACAAAGTCAAATTACTTTATTTCGTAAAAAAAGAAAAGACAATAACAAAACAGTAAGACGAAGGCGTGTCGGAAGATATGACAGCGTCTTATTCTTTATTATTGTTTTACATAACTGTAGTCTGTGCATAATTATTTCTGTTTGTAAAAAATATATTATATCTACCTCTTAGCAGAAATAACGGCAAAACTATCAATACAGTATATATATCCTTTGTCGATCTATATTGCATTCGGAAGCCTTTCCCGTTTGACTTTTTGTGACAATTGACCGGTGATTGTCACTGTACGAAAGCAATGTTCCTAACGATTTCATTACGTCATCCAGTACCTTTTATTTACTGTTTTGTATTGATTCTATTTTACAACAATTTGAGGAAATTTTTGTTATTCATGTCTTAATAGTTATCCATGCACATTTTCTTGTCTGCAAAACGTATTAATGCAGATTTGTTCGAATTAGGGCGCTATGCTACTTTGGTATTTTTAATTTGTATGAGGGACCTAACACTCTGTGGAATTTGTTCATACTTAGATATTAAAGACAAATATGTGTGTTGTGTTTTTTTTACAAAACGTTTATGCTAGACAAGTGTGTATTTAAGAAAGATCTCCATTTTAGAACCGATGGCTGTTTATATTCCTAGTTCAAGTGCCAACTAAAATATCCACTTTGTCGGTGGACATTTACTTTCGCTACGTCTGTTGCCGAAACACCTAGTTAATCAAATCATGTAAGCTTAGTCGTATACATTGTAATTGCTATCCTTATTTATGAACCAATGTATATTTGTATATCCACTGAGGTGTCTGCAACAATATATACTTTGTATCGTGTTAGTAGACCTTTGTTGACAAAATACATGACGAACTATCGGACATTATGTTTGCGAGCTTTACTTTGGAACCCATTCATGTTTGGTGCTAACTGCTACCCTAGGATAAGGTGACGAAATCCAGGCTAGCAAACACTCTGTTTCGTTCTTTATAATGTAACAATTTCGAAGCGAAGATATAAATCATCATTTCATGTTACGCCAAATTGTACAAATATTGACACATTGCCTCAGTAAATAAACATAGTTTGTCTACTGTGGTCATAATACGTCATGGATACGTCGATTCTCATCATAATGTGGTCAAATACACTTTGAAGTTGTTCAGCAAACAGAACGATATAGTCATAGTGTGCGCATTTTCTAAACCCAGACAACAATGTTTCTTTCATTTGATAATTAAATGTTGCGCCAAAATTTGCATCTATCTCATATTTTTCGAAATATTGTAGTTGGCCTGTTGAAATCTGAAATAGTTTCCTTCTGTTTCTCTGATCATACTGAAATATATATTAAAGATAGTTCATTGGAGCGTTTTAACCGATGCGCAAATTAAACAAATCAAACAATTTCACTGTATTGTTTGTTTAGAAGAGATCTTCATTTTATGTCTTTTTTCTCTTAACGAAAGTTTATTCAATAGGATTTTGATTTTGATTGATGAATTCACTATAGAAATAGTTATTCATCCATAGAACTTTTTATTGGTTATGTGTAAAAAGAACTTTTTATAATCCATACTTACCAACCTGAAGAAAATGTTTAGAAATATCCAAACAATTCTAGTTTTTAAGATACGTGGTTTATTTCTATTTCAATGAGATCATGTATATATTGTGTTTAATAATTAAGAGTAGCCATAGTTTTAATGATAACTGATTGTCTTCAAAAATGTCATTGATTCAAAAACGGTAAGTGGTTTTTTTGTGGGTTTTTTTGTTTATCTGAAAGCACATATTTTTTGTTTGAAGTATTATGTATTAAAAGTATGTTGGTCTACTTTCAATGTTAGACGGTTTTAATCATAAACAAAAATCAATCATGTTCAACAGAAAAAACAATATTTATTTTATAGCCAATATCTATTTTTACTTTAAGTGAAGTATCTACGGTAAGTACTCTCAAACACCGCTAGGTGACATGTATCCTATGGACTTGATATTATTTGATGATACTTAGTGTGTGCTTAGTGAAATTCTGACCAAGTTGAGAGGATATTGAATGTCATTACGTCAAACAAACTTCTTTGAATATAGGAGAAATATAAACAAAACCCTAACAGTTCTTGACACATGTTTTGATATACAATGTACACGTGGAACAGTTTAAAGTAGCATTCATTTCTCGGTATGAAAAGTATTGTTAGATTAACGATGTCTAAAAATTAATAAAATAGAAGTACGGTATCGTGTTTGAATACAAAATCTGAAAATTTTGAGAGAATGTGCAAACTTGCTGCATTTCACAAATTTTCCAAAGAAATAGTTACATGTGCACGTTCAGTGCTTGAAATGAATTTTGGAATATTCTTATAATTCAGGTAATATCACAACCAATCAACGAAATATAGGCCCGCTTTATTTCACTTAGGCCTGGTCGTTGAAACTCTGATAACCTTAAATTGAATACTTGAAAATTAAAAATCAAAACGTACAGAAGTTATTTTATATGAGACATTCCACTTATGTCTGTACACAAACTGACACCTCGTTGTCGGTGTCAGAGCCGACCATTTCATATGAACATTTCACTCAGGGATAGCAATCAACATCGAGTGATAGGGTAAAAGTGACAGATATGAATTTAAAATACACATACATTTGAAATATTCAATTATTTTGAAATGTGTACGCAAAGTATTCATAGAAATGTCCACATAGTATTACTATTTGCCTTTTGAAACACAAAATATAATTGTAACATGACCACAGTGTTACGCAGTAAATAAACCCTTTCCTTTCTTCTGTAATTATTACGTCATCTACGATCACTCATTGTGACGTCAGAATTAAGACAATAGCAATGACGCCATATCATTGTAATATCGCATATAAGATAAAAGACATGAAATGGTGACGCGGACATTGAAAAATTAAACGTGATTTCGTGAAAAGATATATTTTTTGGAAAGGATATCGGATTCGTTTTGGTTTGTGATTTTTATTAATGAATCTCATGTGAAAAGGAAACTCGATCATGAAAGATCGAGTGTACAATTCATATGTGTTGTACAACCTTGTGCCATCATAATTTTGCACTTCTTACGTCATAATAATCAGTATTTAATGACGTCATAGGTTTTCAAGATGACGTCGGTATTGGACATCATGATCATTTGTATTGTAAACTTCAAATGTATGCATTTAAAAGGATTGAATTCATTTTTCAACATGAATGATAGTATGCAACACAGTTTCATTCAAACATATTCAATGATGAACCTAGAGAATATGAATACGTTTGAACGGAACTGAGCTGCATACCATTATACATGGTGTTTTTTTAAATGCTTTTTAATCCTTATATTTACAAACAAAGACTATATTTTAATCGTTTTTATGGCCTCATTCGTTTAAAAGTGCATTATAAACAAACGGTTTTCCCAAATGGCGGACAACCATCTTTAATGGAACAGAGTCGTGTTTTCATGGTTACCAGTTCCGTCAGACGGCGAACGTCAAACGGAAAACATTCGGGAATTTCCGTCATAATTTGAATGGAATGTCACGTCATGATTGTCTCCCGAATACTCAAACAGTTTGATGGAAAGACCCGAAGAATTCCCTATTGTTATGGTTATTGCTGTACGTTTACAATAACAGCATTTTTTGGTTGGTAGGTTTATTCAAAGGTCTGTACAAAGGACATTTATATATATACTATTTATATCAAGTAATGAGTAGAAGAGGAAAAAATAAAATCATCAGTTTTTAGGTGAGATTTACGAAAGTCGCCCTTAAGTTTTCATTTACGCTCGTAAAATATGAAATATCGATATTAATTTCAGAATTATCGTTTAAAAGAAATACTTTTATAATGAAGATGAACTGTATATGCAATTTTTGGAAATGCGTTAAAAAAAACTCCGACCTTGAGTATTTTTGTTATCATAAAGTACGAGTGTATGTTTGTTCATACCAACAGACTAGGATATAAATCATGAATAAGCAAAACCACAGGTATGTCGTCACTAAACGACATTACGAGTGTATTACGCGGATGAATTCCTGTGCGAGTGCGGGGGAGGGTAGGTGTGAGGGAGCTGGTATCAGGTCCTGGTTTGTTCCCCGTGCTAGGTGCACACACCTCTTCAAATCATTTATAAACAGACGTGTGTTTTAAATAAAACATTAACAAGATATAGACTATAAAAATGAAATGTCAAAATTAATACAGATAATTTCTCATTCCCTTATGATAAATTCAATTGACTTAACAACTTTTGTTTTTAATTGAATGGTTGAACAACCTTTTCATTGTCCAAACAGTAACAGAACATGAAATGTGAGATAAGATACCAGCGACCTCGTTGGTTTTAATATTTCCTTACTGATAATTCGCCTCATGATTAGAACCGCAAGACGTTTTTGAATTATTCATATCTTAGACAGGAAAATTTCAGCAGAAAGAAACATGTACAAGTGTGTGAAAAGTTATTGGGGACATGCCAGTCTGCTACTCAGTTTCCTATACA